GAGGGGGGTATAGTAGTTGACACTTGGAAGCATTAATCGGGCAGTTGGCTTGAAGATTGATAAGATGTTGTCCCTACTTCTTCTTGACTTTTCTTTCAGTTGTCATCTGTGTCCTGTTTGGTGTTTTCGCCCTTTGTTCATGAATGAAATATGAGTTTAGCCAACACTCCACTCGTCTCATTCTTCGCGCTGCTGGGCCAAGTTTAGTATTATATTTCCCCGCTCAATACCTGTGCAATGATGTTGTGTGGGGAGGGGGCTACTTAGTGTTATGTTTACTCCCTGCTTACTGCCTATGCGCTTGTCTGGTGCAGTACGACTGAACGACTTCACAACATATCTTTTGCTTAAACCGTCAGTACCGCGGACAGTCGCGGTGGGTAATGCGCCCTGACACACGCAGATGAAAGGGCCTGGACTGGAGCGCCCACTTTCATCCAAGTCGAAGTGCTTCCACTTTACTTTTTCCCGCGGCGGATATATGGCCGAGATACCGATTGTTTAATGCCTACATGCTTGTCTGGTCTTGTGCGGTTCCACTCGACGACTTCACAAGACATCTTTCGAAACCGTTGTAATTCAGTCATGCATTAAGGATCCGCAAATGGAAAAAAAAAAAAAAAAAAAAAAAAAAAAAAAAAAAAAAAAAAAAAAAAAAAAAAAGATCTGCAAATGGCATGTGAGTGCTGGCAAGGGTTGCACCATTATATCATGCCTGGCAACAGGAAATGTTACGCCAGGTATATGGTCTTCAATCTTGTCAGTGGGACGCTGGACCCGGTTTCCAGCAGGTGATGCTCCCCACCAATAGATTGGAGCCATCTATGAACTGGGGCTTGCTATTGGAGGATGCTCGTATCACCTCCAATAGCACAGGTTGCCACAGATGTTTCGGTTAAACCACTAGTACCTTTGTCGGTTCGAAAATACTCGGCCTCCGACGTTTCAGGAGGCCGAAACGAAACGACGGCCGCCGATCAGATATATCAACGGCGGCCTTGGCCTCCTGAAAGTTCGGAGGTAGACCAGTACTTGTCGAAAATAGGCTCGGAGGTACTAGTGGTTCAAAAAAAAAAGGAAAAAAAAAAAAAAAGAACATGAGAGGGAACAGGAAAGAACATGAGAATGTTGTTGCGGTGGAGGAGGGGGGCTACCATCTTTACCCGAATAGCATGCCCGAAATTATCGCTGTATCGGTTCGACGGAGAGTTGTGCCCTGAATACCGCTAAAATGACCGGGCATTCTATGCAGGTGAAGACACCAGCCCCTCGCTCGCCCTGGAACTGTTCAGTTTTTGTGTCTACCCCTTGTCGAGGGCAAGTGACACGAGAATACGCCGTCGTCAAGGGAGACTTCCAAAGGGCTCGCAAGAGCCGGGTCCCCGACCGAAAGCACCAGAGGCGTCATTTGAGTCTCTATATAGATAGGCCGAAGGCGCCCATATCTACTAATTGAGTTAACTCAATGATACTACTTCGCAGCCTAACCTCTGCGATCCTGTCCTTGTCTGAAGACATTGATATCGAAGAGATCTTGTGCCACCCCTATTCCCCTTCCCGGGGGGCACTTCTAAACCCTGACAGCCTTCTTCAGGGAAAATTTTATACTGTGACAACCCCCTTGCAAGGGTGGTTTTGAGAAAACATCATGGTTATTGCCACCTATGGTTATTGCCACCTAAAGGGCTATCATTAGGGTCCAAATCCCTGTGGAAAAAGAACAAAATGCAACATATTATTGAATTAATCGGGGCCAATCACGCTTTTCATTTCATGGGTATTGACACCTAAAGGGCTATTAGGGTCCAAATCCCTATGGTAAGAATAAAATGGAACACTACTGAATTACCCCGGGCCAATCACCCTTTTGAAAAAAGAGAAAAAAGAAAGCAGAAGACCCATCTCGACAGATTTTCCAAAGACGTCACATGTATCAACACAACGCATTGACCACAAAGAGAGAGAGAGAGAGAGAGAGAGAGAGTAGTGTCTCCATCCCTCCTCCTCCATCCTCCTCCCCCTCCACTCTGCCTCACCGCCTGGCTACACAACAAATGTTGGAAAAACAGCCTTATGACTAGGCTACCAGGAGGGAGATCCCACTACCGATGTATGTGGAGTAGCGGATAGGGTGTGCGACCCTTCGGTGCCGTTGATGAGAACGGTGATCAGTGGTGTTGCTTATCTTGGTTTTCGGCGTGGGGAAACATATGACTTTTGGGGGGCTCCCATTGGGTGGCATTTCTTTTGCTTTTGTTGTGGTGCTCCTCTGGGGGTCATGAATGTGCGTGAAAATCATACCAACTTTTTTTGTTTGGATTTTCTCGCACCTTCCACTTACGTTTGCGTCGTTGCCCATGCGTTCAAAAGAGGCCGAAAATGAAAACGTTCCCCTTTTCTCATCACGAAGGGATGTCAGTTGATGTCAGAGTCTTCCACAACTTGTTTGTCATTCCAAGCCTCTCATTGGGGAACGTTAACAAATGTGTGTTGGCCTCATGTACATGGTCCATGGACCGTCCACATGCACAACATACCAGCGGAATCATCAGAAGATCCACAACCTGACAGCTGACCGCAGTTCGCGGCGGGTGGACAACATTGCGTTGTCAGAATTGCGGCATTTTGTTTTTTTTCAACATTTATCGCGGAGTAAAGGATGCCACACGGATGTCGCCCGCACGTCCCGCAACCGTCACACTACTCCACATACATCGTTAGTGGGATCTCCCTCCAGAGTGGCCCGGGGTCACTTGCCCGGCCGGGTCAAAAAAATTAAAAAATATAAAACTTAATAAAAGTAATAAAAAGATTTCTGAATTTTATTTTTTATTTTAAATTTGGTAAAGAATTTCTATGTGACCCTCAGGCAAAAGTTCAGTTTTCATCATTTTTTCGTAGACTTCTTGAGTTGTTGGGGCTGTGGAGTTGGCTGTGGGGTTAAATCTAGTGGTGTCCTCTATGTGTTTGGCCGATGATGCCTTGCCCACTGAGGGCCCCGCCTAATTTTGTAAGGGACACCGGGCCCAGTGCCTGGTTATAAAGTCATTGTTCCATTTAAAAAAAAAAAAAAAGTTGTTCTGCATACCATAGTTCCTTTTCGGATTTTTTGGATTTTTTTTTTTTTTTTTTTTTTTTTTTTTGCTGGGACCGTCCTTGGTCCTTGCACGGGCTGGCCACCCGGGACCCGGGCGGGCGGCCCGGCTGGTACCCTAGCCTTATGATAAATAAGTTAAAATAAGCCGTCTGCTTTTACTGTATTCCCTTCCGACTTGCCGGTGGAATAGGAACCAGACTGACGCTCCCCAGAATGGATAAGGAGCCAGAACCACACGGTTCTGTTCAAAAATAATAATAAAAACAAAAATAAAAAATCAAATGCTATGTTCTGTTTTAAAACACACACACACACACACACACACACACACACACACACACACACTTCTGCTCTGGAAGGCTCAACTGCTAATGCTATTTATCGCTGACACACACACACACACACACACACACACACTTCTGCTCTGGAAAGCCCAACTGCTAATGCTATTTATCGCTGAATAACTAAGTACTAACATAGCCAGTGGCTCGTCTACCAATAAAACCACATAAATAGCACCTTCCATGAAGTTTTTGGGCCTGACGGCATGCATAGCGCCGATGTAAATGTGCTCAGTTGGGACCACTGGTAACCACAGGACAACTACTCTCCAATGAGAGTTGCTTGAGCTGCGAGCAACTCGCGTCATCATGATATGTACATGAACAAATGTATACAAGCAGAGTCCACCTGTGCCTACAGCTGTGCCTACAGCCAGCATGAAATGGGCACGGAGATGTCAACAGAGGGTGATAAGCAGCACAGTGCTGTGTCTGGCACCAGGACTCGAACACACGTGCCCCGTTTATCAGCACCTACATGTGTGTACCACTCCGTAACCATAACGACCGACCTGATCATAACTTTTTGGAAATATGAACTCACATGCATTTCTCCTTAAACCACCTACCATCATCAACCGACCTGATCATAACTTTTT